TGGAAGAGCGTCTGGAACAGCCCGGACACGGTCGTCAGCGCAGTCACCTTATTAAGCCGCCTTCGGTTCGCCGGAAGTTTAATCCTACTGGGTAAGCATTTGCCCCCTAAACGGATACCGTGGTAGCTGCGCTGGACCAACACGGGGGCCAGATCAGGGTATTGCAGGCCTTATTCGGGTTGGGCTCCGATAACAAATGCCGAAAATGGAGCGTATGGTGGCATTCAAGGTGCGACTTCGATCTCTGGTCTTCTTGATTCTGTCTTGACATCGGACACAGGTGGGTGAGGGAAGAGAGAGTGCGGTAGATGCTGCACAAGTCTACTATCACTTAAAACTAACTCACTCCCAAGCCACCGTCCCTGCACCACCCTGTTGTGGAGCATACGGTGGGATAATCGAAATCGAAGGTCGGACTGTCGGGTAAGGACTACTTAGCCGGTCTGCTAGACACGACAGGGGAATATAAACGCCCCACCCGAGTAATAAAGGCGCCCCTGCACATAATTCAAGGAAGGCAAATATTATTGGGTCCTAATTCTAATATTAGCCTCAGCATTATTCTAAGCTGTGACCCTAGTCATAAAGTTAATGCTACAGTCAATAGGAAGCCTAACCTTAGCCCTGATTCTACCTTTAACCTGAATACAATCTTCTCTGGCTTTTGGCGCAAACATTCCTCTATTGCGGACGGTTCCTTCTCTCTTATCTGTGTATGGGCCCTGTAAGAGCCGTCCGTACGATTGTCTGGGACAGATTATATCGAGAACTAGTTTTCTAGCCGAGCACCCAGGCCGTACTCCAGGAATAATTTGCCCCATCCGCGACCTTTTAATCAGAAGTATAACTATAACCAGTGAGTCACGAGTTCGTTGTCTTGTCGGTTAAGATCGGGAGATATTGACAGCCGCCCAGCGGTTAGTAGTCTAGGCAGATAACATAACCGGCAAAGATTATGTCGAATAACATTCATAGTGTTCTAACCGAAAATCCAGTCAGCACTCCAGGAAAACTTTCATGGACAGTAAAGGTTATCAACTATGCCTATGTGTGTTTATATGCGGCTCGTTTTGTCTGACTTTACGCAAGCTATTCTTGAGTAGATAGAAGCGCGAGAGGTATTACAATTTCATCAAATATATTTCGGCCAAAATTACTGTAGACAGCCTTCTGGTCTGCGTTGAACTTTGCAGCATTCGCACTCAACCCTCCGGAATAGGCAGACAGTTCGGCATCAGTCAGCATATTTGCAGTAAACGAGATAAGCCCTTAAAACACTCCATTGAAAGTGTATAGGAAGGCATAACATATAGCGAAGATGCAAAAATTGTTGCAGGTTGCTTTGGCGTACAAAAATTTATAAAATATTAATGAATATAAATGGTTTAAAAGATGAAGCGTTTGCGAAATAGCAGTGTACAGTACGTTTACTGCATTTCCACTATGAAATATTTACGCGATCCACATTTAGTGTAAACAAAAGGTCTATTTAAATCAAGCGAGTAGTATTTTTGTGGTCATATATGTTATTTGTTAGATAAGGGTTTGAAAGTTTGCATTGACCTTTAATAGATAATTATCCAGGCGTCTCTTTAACACGCTCACAGTGAGAGAATGCACAACACATGTTGGGAAAGAGCTCCACTGATGAATGACTCTTTGAGAGAAGAAGGAAGAGTGCTGATTCGTGCGACACAGTTCCTCCTTCAGCTGTCCCATCAGGTAGAACGACGGAGGCCCGGAAGTTAAATATATTGCTCAGTACTGTTGCAGATGTCTTTTGCCTAGGAATTTGTGATGATCATAACTTTAAAATGCCTAACGCAACCTCTAAACAATGGTTAGAATATCCGAATTCAAAGTTATTCTATTCGTTAGGACCATGAAACAGCCATGACAAGTTCTGCAGAATACATGAACCCATTCATGTCCGCTCATAATCAGTAACTGCCGCAAGCGAGCAAATGTGTGAGAAATAAAAATTCTCTAGTCAGTCAGAAACCGGTCCCGATGAATCGGATTAATCTTCGAATTAACTGAAGAAGTAATATTACGTTGGCTGGCAGAACACTGTTCTCTAGAAAAGTGGATATTCCAAAAGCATGAAGGGTCACATTAACTGAGTAACTAGCACAAGTAGAGCAACGTTTGAAAATATTTTTTGGCTAGTTTTGGTGTATCTTCCAGGACACAGCGTATTATTTTTATGCACCTGTCTCCCGTCTGTTTATAGGTTCCAAATCTATTTCACGAGAATCCGATGTAGTTTTTGAGCCGTTAACGTTGTTTGAGAGTTAACAAATGAACAAAGGGAGAATTTCAGTTGATTGCGCAAAAAA